ATAGTAGTTTTTCATTCCTAAGCCCTAAGCCCTGCAGTAGTTTCAATTTTCTTTTCCATTCTTTCTCCCTAAACCTTATATAACCCATTCTGGTAGTTTCCATTTTCTTTTCCATTCCTTCATTCCCAGCTAGCCAAAGGTATTCAAGGGTCTAGGGTTTCAGGTTGTTCGCCAGCATTGGACCTCACAATAGATTAATTTCCACTTTCTTCTCCATTATCCCTACTTTCCCCCAATATACAATATAGTAGTTTCCATGTTCTTTTCCATTATCCCCATGTAATCCCGATATACAATATGGTAGTCTCCATTTTCTTTTCCATTATCCATATATAAGCGCAACATACTATAGTAGTTACTGTAGTAGTTTCCATTCTCTTCTCCATTATCCGTATGTAACCCCAATATATTATGGTGGTTTCCCTTTCCTTTGCCATTATCCCTTTATACCCCCTATATTGATAACCTATAATCTCCCTATCCTGTTGAGGCTTCCTGTCATGATGAAGCTCAGGTTGTCGCTGCGACACATCGTGGAGAACACGGGGGCCATCATCGCTCCTCGCACGCAAGTTGACAGGCCCCCACACCCTTCACACACTTTCAAGCAGCGGCAGCGGCGCTGGCAGGAGCAGCGACAGCATTACTTGCCTTACTTGTGCTAGAAATTTGCGACCACCACGGCGCCTGAGTCACCAACGCCACAACCACCAATGGCCCCAGCACAACCACACAATGCGATCAATTTGCCGAGGGAAGCTAGTGCTGCTAAGGAAGGAGTGCGAAGAGGTAAGAGTTTCTGCAATTGTTTTGGAGAAGGATGCATGACCACAGACTACCTCACATATGCCAAATCCCAAATCCTGCGCGGCAGATCACAATGGTAGGAGACTTGGGAATAAGGGAATATAATCCCTCATAATCCCGATATAATATATCTTCTTATTCCTTCCTAACCCCCAATAAGGGTAAGAGAAGTGATCAGCTTCTGAGGTGCTCTCTTCGGAGTGGCGCCGGGATGCGCCCATGCGTGGCAGTGCTGCAATACCGGTAGAGTTAAGGAGGGTTTAGGATTGCAGACCCTAAGCCCTAAAGCCCTAAACCCTAAACCCTGGTAAAGTCAGTTGAGGAGGGCTTAGGGTTGCAATGATCCCTCTCAGGAAGCAGAGCCGTTAACCAAAAGGGTGAAGTTTGCTTGTGTCCACTGTGCCGCTGAGCTGGTATTTGTTGGCAGGGCAGGAGCATGTGAGCGCAAGAATCCCCCCTTCAAAAGCAGGTTTAGGGTGGAATGTAAATAGCTGGGCATACGACAGCAGGTTCATTGTACATCCAAGATGGCATTATGCTGTTGTAGGTTCCTGACTGATCTTGTTGGGGTTTCGACTTGTGGGCCTACGGGCTTTCCCGCAAAACTGACGTGGAATGCCTTGTAGACCCATCCCCTCCTAAAAGAGCGGTAGTTTACGCAAGACCAAGATGGCGCTCCATCTAACTTTAGGACATTAAAAGGTAAACTCTAAAGCACACTGTCGTTACTTGGCACAGTGCCCATTTGAGCTATAGTCTAAACTCCTTAAAGGAGGTTACACCGAGGATTATCTAGGTGAGGAGCAGCCCGTCTGCCTGTGGGTGTGTTAGGTCGTGCTGGTCCTTTTGAACACTTCTTGACGGATTCGAGCCATGCTTTGCCATCTGAGCCATGCAAGAGGCAAAAAGTGCCCTATACCCTAAGCCCTAAGCTCTAATCCCTAGACCCTAAGCCCTAAACAGTTTCCATTTTTCCATGATCCCTGTATAACTCCCTATAAACCCTTATACTCACCTATAGAACCCCCTTATAACCCCCTTATATCTCCTTATGTCCCCCTATAGAATCCCTCTTATCCAGGTGAGGGGGTCGATAACATCTTGACCGAGTATGAGATGCGGCCCTGCAGACTCCTCAGGTCTAGGGTTGAGGGTTTAGGATTTAAAGGTTAAAGGGTTTAAGGGTTTAAGGGTTTAGGGCTAAGGGCTCAGGGGATCCCCCTAATTTGGGCAAACTACTCGTTTAGGCGAGTCAAGCCCATTCACACCCCCCAAGCAAGGCTGAATCGGCTTGGTTGTTAGTAGGGGAATGAGGGAATATAGAATCCCTCTATAATCCCTGTTGATCCCTGTATAATATGTTCCCTTGCTCCCTGTTAACCCCGAGGAAGTAAACTGAGGATTTTGCTATCTTGCTCTGCTGGGAAACTCTCAAATAGCAAGGCAATCTGCCAGTCCTTGTCATTGTCGCATGTCTTGAAGATCGCCCTGAACCCGAAACCCCCAACCCTGAACCCCAAACCCCAAAACCCTCAAGCCTATATAAACTTTATGTTGGTTTGGGTTGCCAAATTTCCTGATTTCAAAACTGTCGAAATTTTAAGCTCAAACATCTGCGCCCCAAAGCCTTAGTAATGGTAATGAACCCGATCACAGAGGTGCCACTTGGACGCCCACGGACCTCCAGAGAGATATGGGCACTGAGAATCCTTTCAAGGTGGAACGGGATGCTTCCTGCTTAGGGTTTAGGGTTTAGGGTTTCGGGTTTGGGGCTTAGGGTGTAGGTTTTGGGGTGTAGGGTTTGGGAGAGTCGGTAGTCCAGTCCCTATGATTCCTTCACTTTCATATCTAAGGTAGTTTCTGGTTTCCCTCAGATGAGCCTTGCGTAGCCTTTTGCATCTCTCTTCCTACATGCTTCCCTTGAACAAGTGGTTTCTTCTGCCAAGTAACATTGATAGTCGTGACCAAGCCCTCAAGGGCTCTACTGGGTGTTTGCGGTCGTTAGAAACGCTCCACCCTCATAGTCCTAGTTAGTTGTATCATTATATGCCCCTGAGTCTTGTTTTGACTGCGCCTCAAACGATTCAGCCCCTACTGCATGCGATCCTTCCGGCAAGTCATGCTGTTTGCCTTTCGATCAGCAAGAGAAAACGAAAGCACAACAAAAACAAGCCAAGAACCAGAGCAATTCCGCACCCAAGACAAAGGGTTTAGGGTTGAGGGTTCAGGGTGGGAACCCGTACTTTGGGGAAACCCCAAGCCCTTCACTCCTTAATGTAATCCGAGTTTCAATTTCATGTGTCTTTTTTGCAGTTGATTTTCCGTTACTTAAGTAGTATCACTCAATCTGCAACATCCCATCAGTACTTTCCGCTTTCTTCTTCTTCATTATCCACTGGGGGGATATACTTTTGCGAAACCACACTTTTAATCTGCCTAAGCCCTATACCCTAAAAACACTGAAAACCCTAAAACCCTTAAACAACTTAAAAACCATGAGCACGCTAAAACGCCTAAAGCCTTAAACAATTTAAAAAAGTGTAAAAAAAACCTCAACACCCTAAACCCCCACCGCATCCTCGGCCATGGCTTTCCTTCTGGGCATCATCCTCCTTGCCGTGGCTGCTGCAGCGGGAGGGAAGGCCCTGCAGGGTTTGAGCGGCTCTGTAGCCGGCCCTAAACCCTATAGGGGTTATTATCCCTCTATAATGGAGAATCAAATGGAAAAGAAAATGGAAAATGAAATGGAAACTGGGGGAATGTAGGGATTTAAGGAACCAAGGACCCTAAACCCCTAAACCCAAAACCCAAAACCCTAAACTCGAAACCCTAAACCTTAAACCCTAGATTCTAAATCCTAAACCCTAAGCCCNNCCCTTAGCCCTAAGCCCTAAACCGACAAGTGCCTTTTTGCAAGGACTTTGAGCAGGGACACCAGACTTTCTGTCCAGACCTCGGTTTTCGGAATTGTGCAGAATTGTAGAGATTGTTTAACGGAAGCCAGTGCTTTAGGGCTTGGGGTTTACGTAGGGTTTACTAGGGTTTAGGGCTACGGGTTTAAGTTTAAGGTTTAGGCTTTAGGGTTTAGGGTTTACGATTAAGGGTTTAAGGTTTAGGCTCTAGGGTTCAGGCTTCAGGGCCAGGGAGTGTGAGTTTGAGGACAGAGGGCAGATGCATGTAAAACGTTAACAACTGTACACAGCTGTACTGATGACTGCTGAGGACTGTTTGCACACCCGAGTACAGCTGCTGTGCAAACAGAGGTGACGACACCCCTTCCAGAACTGGTTACTTGCCAGCAGGACGAGGCACAGGTGGTGTAAAGGGTGCTGCTGCCTTCCTTAGTTTGTTCGGCATGTCCTGCTACCTTCAGTCAGTCACTGTCGTGTAATTAGCTAGTTTGGTTTTGGGAGATGTGTTTTGCAAGGCCACAGCTGGCAACGCCAGCGATGGAAAGGTTGCATAAGGTTGCTGCGGGGTCCAGTGAAAAATCGCCGGTGCCATTGGATATGGGCAGGGTTCATTCAAAGGGCAACCAAGCTGCAGCGTTCACATCGGATTATGCGATATGTAACACGAGGTGCGCACGCGATGCTTGAGGTTCAACCGTTGAATGTTTGGTTGATGTTTTGAATGTTTTGGATTTTGCTGTTGTCTGTGAAGAAGAGATGGCCGCCAGGCGCGCAGTACTTTTACTGGCTAACTGACACACGCCGCAATGACTCGGCTCCCTTGGTTCTGTGGTGGCTTTGCAGCACATCTCCTGCCGGCAAGATTGCCATCTCAAACGTCCATCTGCAAGTTTCCCCTGATTTGGAGATAATTTTCTGAGGGCTCTATAATAAGGACTACAGTATGGTCTATACTACCCGCCGCTGATGGCACAACTGCTTCTGACATGAACCCTTGATGCTTGTATAGCATGGCAGCGCCGGAAGCTCTTCTTCCTAGTCTTCCGTGTGAACCTGTCAAGCAACAGCCTGCAATCCTTCTAATAGTAAAAACCCCTTAAGCTCAAAACTATGCATGGCTAGGGTTGGGAAGGTTCATTGTTAAAATCGAGCCCTTAACCCCTGAAGAACTTAGTAGTTTCAAGTTTCAGCTTCAGCCCCCTCCCTTACCCCTCAATGGCCCTTTTTTGGAGGTGGATTTTTGGGACAAGCGAGGCTGACCTTTCTCATCAACAACTGAGGATGACCGGAGGCCCTGGCTGCTCCTCCATCTTAGCCATGGTGACAGAGAACGGGCCTTGCTTGGTCAAAAAGGCTGGCTGTGGGGCTTACGGCTTTAGGGGCTGGCTTGGTGATGTGTGATGCCCGACATCACGAACCCCTAGAAGGTACAAGTAATTCGCTAAGACTGCACAAGGGTGAATTGAACATATGTTTAGCCGTTGGCTGTTGCAGTATTCCCGTCAACTATACAGCCAGAAAATTCCAAGGATGTCTACCACCTGAACGGATACGCTGCAAAATGTTATAGATGGCGTCCAACAGCATGCAGGTAGTTTCTTCGTTGATGCATGGCACCCTCAACCACACTACAAGGTTCCTGAAAATACTTATTAATTTCTGTTACCACCAATCCTAATATTTAGCTGAAATTTCAATTTCTACTGGGGTTGCAAGTCCCTTAGAGCACAAGCTTTGACTTATGAATCCTGTGCACGAGGGCAACGCGTCAGAGGCGTGGAAGATGCAGCGAAACCCATGGAGCTGGACCTTGGGGAAGTAGGGGTTTCCCAAATTAGGGATACCTTCTTGGGGGTCCCTACAATAAGAATTCTAGTGTTTGGGGGTCTACTTTTGGAAATTGTCAGGTGTTCTTTCAGGGCCTGGGCTGAGAGGAAGGGTCAGATTCGACGAACTTTGGAGCAAGGCTGCGCGCGCAAGTTCATAGGGTTTGGGGTTTAGTTTAGGGTTTTTGGTCCCAGGCCCAAGTAGCGAGCCAGACAAGTTGGTGATAGGTTGGCTGTTGAATTACCAGTTATCTACTGTTGATGCTCCTACTCCTACTCCTACTGCTACTGCTACTGCTACTGCTACTGCTGCTGCTGCTACTACTACTACTGCTGCTACTACCACCACCACCACCACCATTGCAAAATTCATTGCGTGTATCGTCCTGTCAGAACTTTGTTCCTTTGGGGGGGGGGGGGCCAGTTAGCTCCCTGCCCTAAAGCCGTCAACCCTGAACCCCTAAACCCTAAACCCCTAAGCCCTACACCCTAACGTCTTAACCCCTAAAACCCTAAACCCCTAAACCCTGAAACCCCTAAACCCTAAAACCCTACACCCTAAACCCCTGAACCCCCAAAAAACCCTAAACCCCTAAACCCCTGAACCCCTGAACCCCTAAACCCTACACCCTAAGGTCTTAACCCCTAAGCCCCTAAACCCCTAACACCCTAAACCCCTAAAACCCCTGAAACCCTGAAACCCTAAAATCCCTAAAACCCCTACAGCTCCTAAAGCCCGCCTGCTACAGTAAGTTGAGGCTTTGTCCTCGTTCCTCGGCTCCACTCCTCAGTCGTGCGTAGTGTCGGGTCTTTAGGGTTTAGGGTTTAGGGCGTAGGGTTCAGGATTTATAGGGTTTTTAGGGTTCAGGATTGAGGGGCTTAGGGTTCAGGATTTAGGGTTTTCAGGGTTTAGGGCTTAGGGTTCAGGATGTAGGGGTTTCAGGGTTTATAGGGCTTCGGGTTCAGGATTGAGGGGTTTAGGGTTCAGGATTTGGGGGCTTCGGGTTTGGGATTTAGGCAAAAGCAGGGATAGCAAAGTGGTCCAAGTAAATAGAATTTAGAGTACGGCTTTAGATATATTCTACTATAGGTATTGGAGCTGGTGACAGAAGAATCTTCGTAGGTCTTCCGGCTTTCACACGACTATCCTGGCACTTAGTAGCCCTACAAAAAAGTTAACTTTTCGGTACCTGTAACAGGAGTATAGGGGAACCACAGAAAGTGAAGGGTATAAGGTCCTAGCTAATTGCCAAGGAGATTAGGTCATGTTTTCCCCTACTACTTCCCCCTATACTACCCCCTTTCCAGAGTTTCCCTGAATTAACGTTAACGAAAGCTAACTGTCCATAAATAACTTCAAGTAAGGGGGAAACCTAGGGGGGGTAGTATTACGGGGAGTAGTCGCATGTATCGGGGTTTAGGCGTCATCAACACTTAGGGGTTTTCCGTTCGCGGGTCATTACCTGGGGTGTGGGGTTGAGGGTTGGGTGGTTAAAGTTCCTCAACGCGCTGTTTTAGCATCCCAGAGCCACATCATAGACGGGGAGTCTTGGGTATCCAGTTACCCGGGATTGAGGTCTATGCTGTGAAGTTGCTAGACCGTTTCAAATTCAGGCCTTAAAGGCTCTGAGTGCGAATGTAGGATCAAAAGCTGATAATGACAGCCCCAAACCCTGAATTCTAGCAACCCCAACAACCCAGAATCCAAAATCTGGATCAGAAGGTGAGTGCCCAAACCCCTGAACCCTCAAGCCTAACAACCATAAACCCAAGCATGACAAACTGGGAACCCAGAATCCAACTCCTTTGGCTTAGACTTGACGATTTCGGATGCAAAGCTTGGGCAGTGTTAGGGACCCGTTCAAGCACAATAGGGTCTGCGGTTCCCTTATAATACCATAGTTCTGCAAGGGTTAGAAGGGAATCCCTAAACCCTAAACCGCGAATACTTTTGGTAACTACTCAGGCTTCGACAGGTGGGTGTTTTGGTGGTGGAAGACAGTCAGATCAAGCTCATGCTGCGCAACACAAAAAGCCAACCCTGAACAGGGAGGCCTAAACCCGAAACCCTAAACCTTAAACTCTCAACCCTAAGCCTCAAGCTCTATAGCCCCTGAATGCTACTGCGGAGTTCCTCAACATATTCCCCCTGGAACCCAACAGGGGACCTATAGGGTCGTCCCCATTTTGAGAACCCATGGCATGATTTGAAACACCTTCAACTCATTTCGAAGCAGTTTGCGGTCTTTAGGGTCGGTAAGGTTCGGGGTGTAGCGTTACTAGTCAGTAGGCTTAGGGGTAGTAGGGAATGGAAAGAAAATGGAGACTACTTTTGTGCTTGGGTTTGGGGTTTACGTTTGCAGGGAATGGAGGTATGGAATGGATCCCTAGAGTAGTTCCGAAAGCATGGGCTAGAATAGCCCCGACAACCCATTCCTGAATTCCCTGCTAACCACCAGTAAGTTGTGTTTGGCACATATCATGTCTTACGTCGGATTGCTCAGTAGTCCAGTCGAAAGGTACACAATGCGACCAGCATTCCATGGATCAGCGACGGGAAGATTCCAAACAAGAGGTCCTCTTGGATACGCCGCACTGGACTGCGGCAGGCGGTATCTGGGGTCAACTGCCAAGAACCTAGTATGACCCGCAGATTCCACATACAGGGTTCGAGGTGGCGGGGGTTCGGGAGCGGCTGCCCTCCTCATCCGAGTCCCCCAAGCAGTCTGAGGAGGATCGGTTAGCGAGGAGTCCTCCTTGCGGGACAACCTCTACCCCCACCAACCCCAGAAAGAGCCCTCAGTTTTTTAGTAAGCACTCACAGCTCTAAGCCTTAAGCCCTGAACCTCAAGCCCAGAAACATGCACAAACCACTGCGACATCTTAGCTGTGAAAAAGAAAGGATACTGTCAGGAAACCCGAAGGAGTCATGAAGATTGCGAGGAGAGTACCGTGCTCCCAATTTGAGACCACAACATACCCTAAACTACCCAAAGCCCACCACCCTGAAACAAAAGCACAAAGTGGAACCCTATCCCTAAACCCCAAAAGTATGTAAAATAATAGCCCTAAACCCATAATAATACCAATAAAGTCCACTATTTTACATACCTTTGGGGTCCAGGTAAACCCTAAACCCTAAACCTTCAACCCTGAAGTGAGGAACCCCCACATAGCCCAGATTCCACGATGCAAATGACCAACGAGATTGGCAGGAAAACGGTAGCCTGGCGACATGGAAAGTAGGGAAAGCACGGCGAAACCCTCCAAAAATGAAGCCTTAGCCTTCAACCCAAACCCTAAAACGCTCAGCCCAAAACCCTAAACCCTGAGCCGCGTGTGGGGTACAGAGACTCAGGCTATCCTTCTCTGTCTATGGTATTACAAGGGCTTATACAAAAAGTAGGAGATGTCAGAATTCATCCAAAACCAAAGAACTTGAAGGTTCAAGGGACTTAGTAAGTTAGCTGAGGCAATAAACCTACTTAGGCTCCCAAAAAACTGGACCTTTGTTACTGCCAATGTAAGTCGTGTTGCAAATCCGCTCAGAAGTAGCTACTAGGTCTCATGAACCTGCTCTTATGTATGTTGACCTCATGGGTTGTCCTTGTAGCCTCCCCAACTGGACATATGGATATCACCCAAACTGATAACAAACGCTTGCGCTATACCATTCTGCTACAGGTACATAGGGAATATAAAGGAAAACTGCTTGCGATTACGCAAAGCTTTTAACCCTGAACCCTAAACCCTAAAGGGGTTCAGGGTCTGAACGCATACGTTTTGGGATGATTCTTAGAGGGTAGAGGGTTTAGGGCTTAGATTTCAGGTCCCGCCTAGCCCATGGTTTTGGTCCAAAACGCGAAAAGCATCAGCTTGTTACGGTGCAGGGTTGAATTCCTTACCTCTGGTTAGCTGGGAATGAAGGAATGGAAAAGAAATTGGAGACTACTATGATGGGTTAATAGGGACTACTATACGGATCCATTCCTTCACTCCTAGTTAATCAGAGGTAAGATTCATGAAGTTCAGGGAGACCAAGTAAAGACTGGGGTGTAGCTTTTGGTTTGGGTTCCATGTTGCTAACCCACCTAAAGCCTAAACCCGGAACCTTAAACCTCAAACCTTGAACCCTCAGTCTTAAACGTTTGGGGTTTAGAGTTTAGGATTTGGGATTTAGACGCGGCAGACCTACGCCACCCCAAACTGCGGCAAAGCCTATGCAACGATCATGGAAACAAGAAAAGAATAATTCTCCCAAACCCATAAATCAGGGTTTAGGGTTTAGGTATGTGACCCCTAAAGGGAAAGCCATCCTAAACTCCAAGCCACAAACCGCAAGTAACAATTTAGGGTTTTGGGTTTGGGGCTGAGGGTAGCTTGAAGCCCTAAACCCCAAACCTCAGACCCCAAACCCCAAATTCTAAACCCTAAACCCCAAACCCTAAACCCTAAACCCCACACCCCAAACCCCAAACCCTAAACCTTAAACCCCAAACCTTAAACCCTGAGCCCTCAAGCTGCATAGGACCTGGACGATCACGTACACCTGGTCGTGGAACAAGAGACGATTTAGATCCTGGAATACGCGGTTTAGGGTTGAGGGTTTAAGCTGAACCTCCAACGTAGATATTTCGAATGCTGGCCCAAATCCGGTAAAGATTGTCCGAAAAGCATGTAACTTTTTTCTAGCGGGTCCAGGTATTGAGTTGTGTGCTGTTGTAACAGTACATATATACATGAATCCTAAATCCTAAACACCTTTAGACTCCGGAGCCCTGCAAACTCTGCCAAACCCCAGCTTCCTTTTAATGTTGCTCTTCTTTTCCGTTTCGTTCGTTGGGGAAGTATCCCGAAACCTTACACCCTAAATTCTAAATCTTAGACCTTAACCCCTATATCCTACACCGTAAATCTTAAACCCTCAACCCTAAATCCTACCCCTCAACCCTAAACCCCGAACTCCAAACCCTAGACCCC